GGATTATATTTTTCTTATTGATTTGCAAGAGGGTTTAATACAGTAGTTCTCCACTTATCTGCAGTTTTACTCTCTGCAGCTTTATTTATCCACAGTCAACCACAGTTCAAAAATATTAACTAGAAAATTCCAGAAATTAACAATTCATAAGTTTTAAGTTGCATGTTGTTCTGAGTAACATGCTGAAATCTTGCTCTATCTCAATCCCTCCCACCCCCGGCGATATGAATCAACCCTTTGTCTAATGTGTCCACTCATTCTATCCATGAAATTGTGAAGAAGGAAAAAGAAATTTGAGTTAGTTTTGCTGTTGCGCCTCTAACTGCAAAAGATAGGCCACAGTGTGTGGTAAGTGTTTAGTTAAAGTTGGGAAAGGCACTACATTTGTGGGCAGATGACATGAAAAGAGACATGTTTCGATTGACAGCACTCAGGTTTGGTACTAGCCATGGTTGAGGCATCGATGGTGGATATCATCCTTGTTGATAAGAGTAGACTATTATATACACTGGGTACCCTTTTATAATTACAGTTAGTGTTCTATATCCACAGGTTGCGCATCCATGGATGCAACTGACCGTGGATCCAAAATATTCAAAAAATAAACAAAAAATAAAAATACAGTAATAATAATACAAATAAAAACAATACAGTATAACAATGATTAACATAGCATGTACATTGTATTAGGTATTATAAGTAATCTACAGATAATGTAAAGTATATGAGAGGATGTGCTTAGGTTATATGCAAATATTATACCATTTTTGTATCAGAGATTGAACATCCATGAATTTTGGTATCTGATGGGCATCCTGGAACCAATCTCTCCCACATACCACGGTGGCAACTGTATATGCATGAACTATTTCAATCTCCCAGTTTTTAGTTTATCTTTATATTTTTAACTTTGTATATGAATTATTTTAATATAGAGATGTTTTATATTTATCTTCCATTGATTTTATTATAATAGTTAACTTTATAGTTTTGTTTATTTGAGTTTTTAAAATTCTTTCCTACTTCAACATCATATTTTATTTTTTGAATTTAGATATTAATTTGGAGAAAATTGATATCTATGTGATATTGAGTCTTCCCATTCATGTATATGGATATGGTATATTTCTCCATTCATTTGTGTCTTTCAATAAAATTATAACATGACATTAAGATCATACACATCTTTTAAAAGATTTAGTGTTTTTGTTGTCACTGCCATTAAAAAAACATTTTTTTTTTTTTTTTTATAATATGGAACGCTTCACGAATTTGCGTGTCATCCTTGCGCAGGGGCCATGCTAATCTTCTCTGTATCGTTCCAATTTTAGTATATGTGCTGCCGAAGCGAGCACTAAAAAAACATTTTAATTGGTTGTTATTTGTGTACCTCAACCTAATTGATTTTTTTTTTTTTTTTTTTTTGAGACAGAGTCTCACTTTGTTGCCCGGGCTAGAGTGAGTGCCGTGGCATCAGCCTAGCTCACAGCAACCTCAATCTCCTGGGCTCGAGTGATCCTTCTGCCTCAGCCTCCCGGGTAGCTGGGACTACAGGCATGCGCCACCATGCCCGGCTAATTTTTTTTTTTTTATATATATATCAGTTGGCCAATTAATTCCTTTCTATTTATAGTAGAGACGGGGTCTCGCTCAGGCTGGTTTTGAACTCCTGACCTTGAGCAATCCGCCCGCCTCGGCCTCCCAAGAGCTAGGATTACAGGCGTGAGCCACAGCGCCCGGCCTGATTTTTTATATATTGAACTTGTATTCAGTAATCTTGCTGAATACTCTTACTAATTCCAATAGCTTGTCAGTAGGTTTCTTAGGATTTTCTATATACGTCATTATATTTTGTACAAATCATTTACCACTTTCCATTGATTAAACATGTCATTACTTATTTTATTGAATTAGCTAGGAATTTCAATAATATATTCTGGAAACAATGATATTGAACATCTTATCTGGTTTCATCCTTTAATTGTAATATTTCTAACTTTCAGTTTTAAATATCTCATTTGCTATAGGTTTTCATAGACAGTACTTATCAGGTTAAGGAAGTTCTATTTTATTATTAGTTTGCTTAGCATGTTTACCAAAATAAATACTGAATTGTATGCTTTTCTATATATTTTGAAATGAATATTAGCTTTTTTCTTCATTAATCTGTTAATATGGTAAACTATATTACTATCTACTAATATAACAGATATAACATAATAGATATGTTATAACATAATAGATATGTTATATCTGTTATAGGTATTGATTACATAATATTTATTCACATTTTGTTATTAAAATACCCTTTCATTTATTGGAAAAACCTTTTTAGTCATGATTTTTAATCCTATAAATCACTTGACAGCATTTGGTAATATTTCATTGTATATTTCATCATTTATACTTTAAAGTCAGAAGGTCTATAGCTTCCATGTTTCATCCAGGTTTGGTATCAAGGTCTTAGCAATCTCGTAAAATACACCAAAGAACTTTCTCTCTCTTTTTTTCCTGTGCAACTGGTTGTTTCCAAAACTCAATCCTAGGCTATTTTATAAATGATTGGAAAGCCATACTCAATATCTGTTTCCTTCTCTTTCCTTAGATTTGGACATATGCACTCTCCTATCTGTAACATCTTTTTTTGGCACTTTCAATCTTATAAAATCATCATCATTAAGATGAAAAGAGAAAATCCAAAATTATCTCTAGGTATTGTTTCACACTCCAGGAATATACTCAAGGAACCATATGGACCAGGGGGGAAAAAACTTACATAGAAGGAAAAAATATGAAAACCAAACTCCTACATTTTCATTACTAATATGAGATTTAAAAATGAGGACACCCTCACAATCTGTACTGAAGGGGGGAAGTGAGTATTTTTCACATGCAAAAACCTTAACAGGGAAAGCTTATCATTTAAAATATATTACAAAGTTAGAGAATCTTCAAGTTTCTGCAACTGTTAGTGCTGCTTGTTCTAAATCATTTTCTAAGGATCATGTACGAAATGTGTATTTTTCCACACTAACATTGGAATTTAACAGGTATGCTACTGTCTTTTAATGCTGACTGCAATTAGACTACTGTGGAGGCAGCAGGTGGCAGCAGCTCCCACTCCAAAAACTGGGAATTGGAACAAGTCATGAAACAGTCTGTGGCCTCCCTGGCTGGCTAGCCTTTCTGTAAAGTCCTTTGTGTCAATAACTGCGCATTTCACATATGGAAGGAAAGATAATATAATTCATAAATCCCACAAAGTTTGACAAAACCAAAAGGATGTGTATGTATTCTTAACACAGAGAATAAATAACAAACATATGAAATAGGTGGGTTTTAATCTTTGGAATTCCTCTTTTTTATTTAAAACACTCAGTGCAGGCTGGGCGCGGTGGCTCACACCTGTAATCCTAGCACTCTGGAAGGCTGAGGCGGGCGGATTGCTCGAGGTCAGGAGTTCAAAACCAGCCTGAGCAAGAGCAAGACCCCATCTCTACTATAAATAGAAAGAAATTAATTGGCCAACTAATATATATAGAAAAATTAGCCAGGCATGGTGGCGCATGCCTGTAGTCCCAGCTACTCGGGAGGCTGAGGCAGAAGGATTTTCTGAGCCCAGGAGTTTGAGGTTGCTGTGAGCTAGGCTGATGCCATGGCACTCACTCTAGCCTGGGCAACAAAGAGAGATTCTGTCTCAAAAAAATAAAAATAAAATAAAATAAAACACCTAGTGCAGTGCCTTCATGCTCTTTCTAGAACTCTTCCCCTGTTTCCTTCTTCATACATTGCTTTGGGTCTCATTCAAGCCTTTCCTTTCCAGGGAAGTTGACCATACTTTTAGAGTTTTTGCTACCTTTTATTAAATAACAGTAGATAATAATAATATTAATACACAATGATTATAAAACTAATGACCATTTATTGAGCATATACTGTGTGATAAATTCTCTTCTAGAAGTTTTACATATTTTATGTCATTTAATCTACACAATAATTCAATAAATTAGACATGACTATTATCCCCATTTTATAGATGTAGAAATTGAAGCCCAGAGAGGTTCAGTTCCTTGCCTTAGATCACACAGCTAATAAGTGGAAGAGGCCAGAAGAACACCACAGGCTCTCTGACCTTGGAGCCTGTGCTCTTCATCATTACTCAGTGTGTGTTAACCAGGTAGACCAATCCCAACCGATACCAAATAGTTTAATTCCACTAGGATATAAGCTGCTTCAAGCTATTTAAAGTGCATGTATTTCCAAAACTCCTTTGAGAAGTGCATCCACAGATGGGAATTTGAGGCCGTTGATAGATTGTTCAGCATGGAAGGGATATTGGAATAAACAGACCAAGAAGATAAATCTCAACTGTTTCATTTATTATGTGTGTAAACTTGGCAAGTTATATCACCATCCAGAGCTTGACTTGCCTCATGTGTTTAATGGTGATAATAATACTTACATGTTGTTGTGAAAATTAATTGGAATAACACATCAGAGTTCCCAAAACATAATCAGTACATCCTCAATTAGTATTAAATATTAGTTCATGTCCTCCTCCCTCAATAAACTATAGTGCTGGCTAAATTTCCCTAGGGTAGGTTGAGCCTGGAAAAATAAGTAAGAGGAAAATATGGGGCACTAATTGGGCATTATTAATTTTTGTATCTCCCTCAATTACTATCTCAACTGATGAGTGCATAATAAATGCTTATTCTTAAATTGATAAGAAAATAAATTCACAAAAGTATTCATGGATATTTTTACATACGTAAAAATGGAATCTGCCCAACTATTTGGTATGCATTTAGAGGACTGGGGTTAAGAGATAGCACTGATGTTCCTGGGAAACTTACTCATGATTAAATAAGGTTAATGGGGGGCTCCTTATTAATTTCTGGCTTAAAGAGACTCGATTTATATTTGTGACACAATTTCTTTTTCTCTGATATGCTTAAATTTGTTTAATAATTTATCAAGTTAACTGATTTCTCTTCTAGACCAAAAACAGACGATGCCTGGGTATTTGCAAAGCCTAATGCCATTCAGGCCGTTGGGGTTATGTCTTTTGGTGAGTACATGGTTTCAGAGGCCCTTTCTGAAAATGGAGTCATTTGTTCCATGAAAAAGTGATGTTTCATATTTATGTCTGCATAGCAGATGTCCTAAGTTTTAGACTTCCTATTAGCAGCATATGATCTAGTTTGTGCCAATATAAAATTAGGCTCAAACTTTTCTCACTCATCACTAAAATTTGATTCAATTTGGAGAAATCTATTTCTTATGCAGAAAACTCATTATAGTCATCTTGTTTCTTAACTTGGAAGTCTAGCAAGTGTTAGGAACTTCTTCAAACCCTTGCACACAAAGTATTATAGTATGAATTGGCCAGATGTCTAAAACTATTATGTCCCAGATGGCAAAGGAAGCCATGGACTAAAAATTATGGTGATGTTTAGATTTTCTTTAAGGTGGGAAGAACCATTAGGAAAAGCAAAATGGGAGAGAAGTTTGAACTGGCCTGGTTTATATCAAAAGGGACATGAAGAGACCATATAAGCCTAAATGTGAATGAACTTTCTCATTCCCAGAGCTATTAGAAAAATTATTTCCTGACATATTTAGTAAATAGATATATTTAAACTTCCGTTCATTGGCATCTACAGTGGCACACATCTCTGAATGTTCAGAACTAAAAAAGGAAACCTTGGTGCTTGCTTTAATAATGCTTGTTTTGTTTTTGGATTGCAGCATTTATTTGCCACCACAACTCCTTCTTAGTTTACAGTTCTTTAGAAGAACCCACAGTAGCGAAGTGGTCCCGCATCATCCATATATCCATCGTGGTTTCCATGTTTATCTGTATCCTCTTTGCCACATGTGGATACCTGACATTTACCGGCTTCACCCAAGGTAAAAGTGAGAGATTCAGTCATGCCATATTTTGGTGTTCATGTGGATTGGTACAAGTACACCCAGTGTTCTACTCATTATTAGTACAAGTATGCCCAGTGTTCTATTTCAAAGGATCACTCTCTTCCACCCATTCTCTCCTCTACCCTGCTGACTTTCTGTTGTCCCTGTTTCCTAATTTTTTCTTTCTTAAGCTGCCAAACTTAGTTCTGTAGTCCATACTCTCTCCTTCCATGCTTCCACTTCCAAGCACGAGAATCCGGGCTTTCCTCCCTGCTACTTCACTGCAGCCTCGCTTTCAAAGGTACCAATGGCCTCCCAGTCTCCAAAACTAATAACCTCCTTGGTTCTGATTCTCCTGAATCTCTCTGAATCCCTTAACAAAACTGAAATTCCTTTCTTTGCTCAAATTTTCTTCCCTTAGAGGAAAATGCACTACTGTATTATCATTGTTATTCTTTACCTCTGTTAATAATTTTTTTCTTTCTTTTCTCTCTCTTGGCCCTCTCTCATCCCCCACTCCACTACCACCCCACCCCACCCAGATAACTGGTTCAGGCATGTGGCTTGCTTTTCTCTCAACAAATTCTCCAGACACTTTCATTGTTTAGTTCTAACCCAGACCGTTCTTCTCATCGCCAGCCTGATGCCTGCAGGACATTTCTATTCAATTGTCCCATTCTTACCTTAATCATGAAACATCATCTTTCCCATAAAACATCATCTTTCCCTTTCCCTCCCTCCCTCCAAAGTTACTTCTCTTTTCTTGTAGTCACCAGGCCCAACAACTAAGTAGTCATCTCTTCGACATCCTTTGGCTCTTACATTCAATCATCTCTGTAGTGTAATATTCAGGGCAGTCTGACAGTCGGCTAAATGCCGTGATTCATAGACTTCATAGCTCTTGCAGGTCTATTATCTCATTGACCTTCAAACAACCCTTTGAAGGGAAGTGGAATAACTAGTTTTACCCCTGATTAAAACACAAAGAGGTGAAGCAACTTGCCCATGCTGGCTGATGACAAACTAGAAAACAAGTCTTCCGACTCCTAAGTCCAGTATTTTTTCCATTCTCTTTCTACTGCTCCCATTTTAGTCAAGCAAAGCCCACTAAAAGCTGCTCCTTGGCTTTCAGCTTCTCTTAGCTTAGTTTTCTGAAGACACTGGGGTGCTCTTGGGAGAATGGCTGCCTTGTTTTGAACAGAGGTTATAGGTCACTATGATTGTAGGCAGATATTTCGCAGGAAATAAAGATGGCTTCAAAAATAATGACTAACATAATTCCAATGAGGTCAAAAATATGATACATGCATGTGTCCTTAGAGTGCAGTAATAAAGTGACCTTGAAAATCCTGATAAGAATTGTGTTCAAAACATTACCATGTATCACGATTGCTACATTGTTTGTCAAAATGAGTGGCCCAGGGGCTCCAGTCCCTGCAGGACCTTGGTTTTTAAATGCCTTCTCTGTATGACATAAATCTTTTTTGTTAGTTATACCTTCCTGGTGTTTTTATCAGTGGTAATTGCTCAGATGTAATTAATCTTATATAACAAAGTTGACAGGTGTTTGATGTTGTTGTTGTTGTTGTTGTTGTTGTTTTTGCCCTAGCTATAATTCCCTAAAATACACTTAGATTTAAGCTGGAATAAGCTGGCATTGTTTCTCTAGAACATTTCTCCTTAGGCAAATCTGGTCTTATTTGTGCAAACTGCATGCTTCTTTTCTTATCCCTCTCAGCAGACAAATTTCAGCTTGTGAGGCAGAGGGAACTCTGGATTCTTCTTGACGTTCCCAGTGAGTTTTGAAAAGATGTAGGGCCCATTTCTTAGCAGAGGTTAGTGAACAGGGAGTTAGTCCTTTTTTTTTCAGAGTGCTGGAATGTTTTCAATCAACCTTGAAGCAGGTCTCTGCCACCTTTGCTTTGTGGTTTAATCTTCTGCCTGAAAGGGACATTGTAATGTACATTTGTTCTAGTAGATGGGTGGAGGGGAGAGTCACTTAAAGTAAATCCTGGGAAGAAGCAGGTCATTTAGGATATTTTGCATTTTAATGGAAAAAAGTACAGAAGTATTGTGATTTTGTTTTTTTTTTTTTCTTTTTAAACAGAGTAGTAGTGAGTGACATTAATCTAATTTTTGATTCAGTTTAGTTTTTAAAAGGTGACCACAGACCAGGCGCAGTGGCTCATGCCTGTAATCCTAGCACTCTGGGAGGCCGAGGCAGGTGGATCACCGAAGGTCAGGAGTTCGAAACCAGCCTGGGCAAGAGCGAGACCCTCGTCTCTACTAAAAAATAGAAAGAAATTAATTGGTCAACTCAAGATATATAGAAAAAATTAGCCGGGCAATGGTGGTGCATGTCTGTAGTCCCAGCTACTCGGGAGGCTGAGGCAGGAGGATTGCTTGAGCCCAGGAGATTGAGGTTGCTGTGAGCTAGGCTGACGCCACAGCACTCTAGCCCGGGCAACAGAGTCAGACTTTGTCTCAAAAAAAAAAGGTGACCACAATTTTAAAATCTAAGCATATTATATTCAGAAAATAAACAGGCCCAAATACTCTGTTTCAGTGTTGGTAAATGGTTTTTTGCTAACATGACTTCTTTGCCAAGTTAAATCCCTGTATTTCTTCATAGATAGCTAAGAAAATATACTCTCTAGATAAGAATTGTTTTAAGGTTTACATGGTCCATCATTTAGTTTAAAACTAATTAAATTTAATGTTCTTTCTGGGAAATAGCCATATTGTCACAGTTTTGAATCAGTTCACTTACACTTGGGCTCATCAGATGACATGAAAGACAATATATGCTTGGAATTCCTTGTGGTGGCCCCAAGTTTGTGATTAAGCCCTATAGCATGATATACAGGAAATCCAGCTCCCCAGATGTACTGGTCTACTCTTCCTTTCAGGATTGTTCTTGATCTAAGAATAGCGTTTCAAAAGGAAATTTGTTTATTTTAACAGACATTTTTTTAAAAAATAATGAAGTCACTTACTCACCAGAAACAAAGACCAGAAGCAAGTTTACAAAGCCAATGCACAAGAATTTAGGGAGTTGATTCTGATGTAAGAAGACAATGGATAAAGTATTTTTCAGAAGTTGATTCAAATTTTGAGGTAAACCTACCCAAAACAAACAATGAAAATAAGAGAAAAAAAACTATTAGTGATGGATTTATCTTGAAGCAGAACACGTACTGGTTTAAAAATCAATGAATAATTGCATCATTATTGAACGCAAAAACTTATATTTAGCCTGGTAATCTGTTGTTCTCTCTCTTTTTTTTTTTGAGACAGAGTCTCACTCTGCCTTGGCTAGAGTGCCATGATGTCAGCCTAGCTCACAGCAACCTCAAACTCCTGGACTCAAGTGATCCTCCTGCCTCAGTCTCCTGAGTAGCTGGGACTACAGGCATGTGCCACCATGCCTGGCTAACTTTTTCTATATATTTTTAGTTGTCCAATAAATTTCTTTCTATTTTTAGTAGAGACAGGGTCTCGATCTTGCTCAGGCTCATCTCGTGTTGTTCTCTTAATTAAAGGAAATGAAGTTTATGAAGATTCACTTATATACAGTCATTTGCTGCTTAATGACAGGGACACATTCTGAGGTATGCATCATTAGGCAATTTCATCCTCATGTGAACATCACGGAGTGTACTTACACAAACCTAGGTGGTATAGCCAACTACCCTCCTAGGCTACATGGTATAACCTATTGCTCACAGGCAACAGATCTGTACAGTATGTCACAGTGCTAATCGTGTAGGCAGTTGGAACACAATGGTAAGTATTTGTGTATCTAAATATATCTCAACATAGAAAACATACAGTAAAAATACAGGCATTACAATCTTATGGGACCACTGTCTTCTATGGGGTCCCTTAGGTGATGCATGACTATAATAAATATCTAATATTTAATTTATTAGTTATCCCAAATATACAGTATCTAGTAAATCAACTTATTTCATATTATTTTCTAGGAGACTTATTTGAAAATTATTGTAGAAGTGATAACCTGGTAACATTTGGGAGGTTTTGTTATGGCATCACTGTCCTTTTGACGTACCCCATGGAATGCTTCGTGACTAGAGAGGTAAGCACAATTCCTTCTCAACACTTTATCCAGGTGATCTCTCTATTGCATTTTATTTAGGGAGATTTATAAATAATTCAATTTGGCAAATTCCCAAGTACATAACATGTGTTATCATTTATAAGATTTTTTTTTCAGAGTTTAAAAATGAATTTATATTCAGATGTTTATGAGATAATTTTTTAAAAGTTGGATTTGAAAATTAAGTTTGTTAGTTTGGTTTATATTACCATAAGCACAAATATTTATACAACTGCATTCCAAAGTGAATGTGAGCCTTTAGTAACAGCCAAACTAAGGTTGTTGGGTTTTCTTTTTTTAATGGCATTCTCACAAAGTAACTAAGTACCAAGGTTCAGAACAAGTTTTACAAAATTGTCTTTTTGCTGAGATGTTCTATAAGTCAACATGTACTAAAGACACCATAGATCAGATTTTAATTGGTTGTGTTGTTTCTTAAAAACTAAAGTACCTTATATTCCGTGAAGAACCAAAATTGAACTTAAGCCTTCAGTTTTACAGATATATGTTATTTATATATTTACATAAATATATTTATTTATTTACATTTTTATATAACAAAAATAATACAAACAATTTAAGTATATAGTATAGTATTTACATATAAATGTATTTCATTTAGAAGTCAGCTCTAAATCATGTTATATCACGGACCACCTGGATTTGTGGAGAAAGATTAGCTGAAAGCAAATTAATTCTTTTGGCGCAAAATGGGATCACATAGCTTGTCAGGAATTCCTTATGCTGTCAGCTAAAAATCCACTGGCCCAGTTCACAGTAAAAAATGATCCTCCTTCACAGCAGTTCTTTCAGGAATCACACTGAAAAGAGCTTAGTCTCAGGATCTATTCGAAGAGGCTGTTTACACAGCACACCATGTGAATGGGTGTAATGTGTGAAGTGAAATGTCTACAGAGCTTTAAATACACGAAGGAGTTGGCAGGCTTCTTGAGGCAGGCCAGCGCTTACCTTCAGCCAGCGCCGGGGATGAGGAACCGCTCTGGAAAACGCGAGAGGGAAATGTTCAGCACTGTGCATGTCCTTCACAGTTAGCACTTTTGCTCACTTAGAAAGGTACAATCCACAGGCCAGTCCTCTATCTTGACTACCAGGGAGAAGTAGACTGAATTGAGGTTACTTTATGAAGACTTTTTTCAAAATTTAAGAGCCAGTGCTAACTACTGTCAGATGCAGGAAATGGTAGTGTTTTAGTTTCTGCCCAGGACGTTAGGTTCAAATCTGGTCTTAGATCAACAAGAACAAATGGTACATTCTCGTGTGGTTTCTGGTAAACTGCCTGTGGACGATCTGAGTCACTTCACCTGCACAACTTATGTCTTTAGTACTTGAAACTTGAGTTTCCTTTCTAGCTGCCGTGACAGGAAGACAGAATAAAATCAAGATCTCTGCCACAGTAGCAAATACTTGTCAGAGAATGTTGGGTGTACCTTTCCCAGTCACTTGCTTCTCTTTTTCTTCTTTCTACACACACACACACACACACACACACACAAATATACAGTTGACGTTTAGCGTAGTGAAAACCATTTCTATTCATAGGTAAAGTAGCCAGCCATATACAAGGGTGCCAAAAAGGCTATCTACTGTTAATAAATATTTCTCACTTGCCTGCCTCACTAAGTGATTTTTCACTCTCACAATTATATCATAGAGGCATCTATAAGAATGTATTTTAAATAAGATGATATTTGGAAAGACATTACCAATTGTAAGCAGTGAAGTTATTAGCATCACCATTAATGTATTAGCAGAACCCTGGCAGTATCCGAGCTATGGGGGATGTTTCATATCTAGGCAGCAAAGCTGGGAGAGCTGGCTTCTTTATGATCTGCCAGCATCTGACCCTCTGCTGCCATTTCCAGCTCATGTCTCACTGTCCTTTGCACAAGGCCACCACCCTATTTAGACCGTCTCCTCCCTCTCTCCATAGGTATCGTTCGTGTTCTTCCCTCTTTGCTCTTTTTTCACACTGTTCCCGTAGCCTATAATTCTGCTCCAAATGCTATTCATGTTTCAAGCCCCACCTCAAACCAAGGTAGATCAAGCACATTTCAAGAATGCTATGAAGGAGATTACTCTAAAGAAGAAAGGTCTGAATACCTAAAGCTCCTCTTAGTTCTAAATCCTCTTTGATCTTTTTTTTTGTCCTGTTATAAATTGGTCTCTGTTTTTTCAGATTGATTGTATATCTCGAATTATTAATTCCTGAGAATAGGAATCATCTCCTAGACATTTTATCTTTGTAAACCATATCACTGTATGCGACACATTAAATTGGTAACTGTTGATTGATTTCTTGGTCTGAGTATTAATTGAAAATAGTCCTGTAATCCTAGCACTCTGGGAGACCAACGCAGGCAGATCGCTTGAGGTCAGGAGTTTGAAACAAGCCTGAGCAAGAGTGAGACCCCGTCTCTACTAAAAGTAGAAAGAAATTAATTGGCCAACTAAAAATATATAGAAAAAATTAGCCGGGCATGGTGGCACATGCCTGTAGTCCCAGCTACTTGGGAGGCTGAGGCAGGAGGATCGCTTGAGCCCAGGAGTTTGAGGTTGCTGTGAGCTAGGCTGACACCATGGCACTCTAGCCCAGGCAACAGGGTGAAACTCTGTCTAAAAAAAAAAAAAAGAAAAAGAAAATAGTGATGAACTCTTCTCCATTTTTGTTGAGGAAAGGCAGTATAAAGCGGACTTAAATTGTAACAAATAGGATTTAGTTTATAGAGAATTCCCTATTAGTAAAGGATATTACACATTATTATTAATGGAAATGGGATAACCACTTCCTTTGAGGCCATTCAGATAATCTAAATAGTGTCTAGTTTGTTTTATAATAATAGTAACCTTGTTGGGCTCAAGGAAAAAGAATAAGGTAAATTTTCAAGGTTTCTTATACTTGAGAAATACATGTATTCAAACATTGGTAAGTCATACTATGAGTCTGCAATATAATTCACTGACTAATAGTTCAACAAAGAATACTTGTTATTGATAATGCGTGTCTATGTGCAAGTACTTTGGAAAAGGTAGAACATTCCTAGTGACTTGAGATTTGATAAATTGCCTTATTGGTAGTATTTTATACAGCTTTTATGAAATACTCTCTCAATAAATCCTGAGTCCCTCTCAAAATAATCTGTTTATTTGGCAGGTAATTGCCAATGTGTTTTTTGGTGGGAATCTTTCATCAGTTTTCCACGTGGTTGTAACAGTGGTTATCATTACTATAGCCATGCTTGTGTCATTGCTGATTGACTGCCTTGGAATAGTTTTAGAACTTAATGTAAGTACATTTAAAGATTTACTCCATTCTAAAATTCCCTTTAAAAAACAATGTTTATATTTAACATAAGATGTATTTTTCTTAACACAAGTGTCACTTTCTGAAGTGGAATGAAAATGTGTTTGTAGTACAAGAATAAATATCTATAATGCTGATACTGTGTACTTTATAGGACTACATATTTCTAAATCAGTGGTTCTTGGTGGGGTGTGGTGGCTCACGCCTATAATCCTAGCACTCTGGGAAGATGAGGTGGGTGGATTATTTGAGCTCAGGAGTTCGAGACCAGCCTGAGCAAGAGCGAAACCCCATCTCTACTATAAATAGAAAGAAATTAGTCAAACAACTAAAAATATATAGAAAAAATTAGCCGGGCATGGTGGCACATGCCTGTAGTCCCAGCTACTCGAGAGGCTGAGGCAGGAGGATCGCTTGAGCCCAGGAGTTTGAGGTTGCTGTGAGCTAGGCTGACACCATGGCACTCTAGCCCGGGCAACAGGGTGAGACTCTGTCTCTAAATAAATAAATAAGAATAAAAATAAAAATAAATCAGTGGTTCTTAAATGGGGGCAGTTTTGCTCTTCCTTTCCCCAGGGGCATTCGACAATGTCTGGAGACATTTTTGGTTGTCACAACTGGGTAGGAGTGCTACCGGCATCCAGTGGGTAAAGGCCAGGGATTCTGCTGAACACCCCACAGCACTGAACAGGCTCCCCACAGCAAAGAATGATCTGATCCCAAATGTCACTAGTGCTGAGGTTGAGAAACCCTGCTTTAGAGCACTTTTGCATATCTTATTTGCTATAGTACATAGATATTACTAAAAATAACTATAAAGTAAGTTAATTTGGAATTTTCTTTGCTGAGTAAAAATATGTCTAGTGAGAGTCATTAAAAATATGGAAGGAATAGAGTTATATCCATATTGCACATTCACTGACTGTGGCCCAATTTCTTCTTCTTTAAATATTTTTTTCTCTCTCCAGACCTTTATTTTGGAATCTGTACTGCCACCACCTAAATCTAATTTCTCATCGTATCACATCTAAAAATTAATCCTGGCTTTTTTGCTTCAACTATCACATCGAAGCAAAAAAGTTCTTCTTTCAATTTATTAGCATCCTACTTAAAAACCTCCACTTTTTTTTTAACCAAGCAAGTATAAACTTCATGGACTCTATAATCTGATCCTATGCCTTCTATAGAAAGCTATTTCTCATTTATTTCCCCAAATCTTCCATTAGCTCTGGTCAACCTTATTTTGGTCTGTGAATAAGCCATATCAATTCTTCCTATTATCCTTTGCTTATCTGTTTTTTATTTCCTATTATGATTATTTTCCTTTCATTTCTGTCCAAATCTATAAGACTTCAAGGTCTATTGCAACATCTAACTCATTTATTCATTGATCATATATTTACTAATTGCTGTGCACCACACAATAGAGTATAATGATAGAAGGAAGTCAGAAAGGATCTATGCTTTCTCACAAATGAACATAAAGTTCCGATTGCTAAATAGGTGATACAGAAGACAGAGGGAAGTGAATGGGCTCCCAGAAGACATTTTTAAGACAGGATTGACACAATTTGGTGACAGATTCAATTGGGAAAATAAAGGGATAGAGGGGGATACATTAAGAATGACTCCTTAGGCTGGGCATGGTGGCACATGCCTATAATCCTAGCACTCTGGGAGGCCGAGGCAGGAGGATCCCTGAGGTCGGGAATTTGAGACCAGCCTGAACAAGAGTGAGACCCCATCTCTACTAAAAATAGAAAAAAACTGGCTGGGCATCATGTCACACACCTACAGTCCCAGCTACTGGAGAGGCTGAAGCAGAAGGATTGCATGAGCCCAGGAGTTTGAGGTTGCTGTGAGCTAGGCGGGTACCATGGCACTCTAGCCCTGGGCGACAGAGTAAGACATTGTCTCAAAAAAAACCCCAAAAAACAAAAGAATGACTCCTTGATTCAGATCTAGGCTTGTAGTCAAAATACCAAAAAAAAAACAAACAAAAATCTCTCTATGCCGGGCGCTGTGGCTCACGCCTGTAATCCTAGCTCTTGGGAGGCCGAGGCGGGCGGATTGCTCGAGGTCAGGAGTTCAAAACCAGCCTGAGCAAGAGCGAGACCCCGTCTCTACTATAAATAGAAAAGAAATTAATTGGCCAACTGATATATATATAAAAAATGAGCCGGGCATGGTGGCGCATGCCTGTAGTCCCAGCTACTCGGGGGGCTGAGGCAGAAGGATCACTCAAGCCCAGGAGTTTGAGGTTGCTGTGAGCTAGGCTGACGCCACGGCACTCACTCTAGCCTGGACAAAAAAAAAAAAAAAAAAAAAAAAAAAAAAAAAAATCTCTCTATGGTTCTATTTTGTGGAACTAGGATAATGGTGCCTTTGGTGAGATGGGAATGGAAGTAGATCTATCCCTTAGTCTTCCCCTTCTATTAATACAATCCTTACAGAATTTCTAATCAGACTCACTGACCACTTAGCACTTCTTAGTTATGCACTACAAGGAGGGCAGACTTTTCCAGGTGGAATCCCAAATCATCGTTTACTCATTTTGTTGAGAACTGAGGCATACGCAAAGGTGTTATTGTCAGTGTCCAAGTCACTATCCCCTCCAGATGCCATTTTGATTTGACGTTCCAGATAAAGGCAGTAGGAGATTCACTAAGGGACATACTATTGCGAATTTTCTTGTAAATGGAAAGTAGGAAGTGGTCAGCTTTCCAAAACCTCAGAGGACTGGGGAATTGTCTATTCCACCCACAAAGGAAAGAAAGCTCATAGGAGAGGGGAACAAATGTCAAAGGTAACTTTTACCTTCTTCCCAATTTTGCATAAGCCAAAAGCTAATAGTTTCCATTTGAATTCATTTGATGTACTAACCTTGATTTGTGTAAATGGATCACTGCTACGTGAATGCACTAAATTGATTTATGCACTAAATTGATTATTTCAAATCATTACCGTTTGAGCTGTCCATAAGATTGCCTCACCTACCAAATGGTAAGCTCTTTGAAGACAAGAGTATTTAACCACCTTCCCCATTCTCCACGGTATCTAGCACAGAGCTAAGAACACAGTGCTCAAATTACTGCATGGTTGATTGTCCCTTGGGACCACAGTTCAGGACTTTTTCTGTAAATAAATATTCCCGGACATAAGAGATGTTCTTTAATGTAGTGCCAGGAAATTAAGTGTTAAAAAAATTGTTGGTGTTGACAGTAGTAGTAATCTTTCACTTATGCCATGGAGATGATCAACATAATGATTTCTATCCCTGTTTCTTTCTTGTTTTATGAAATTTCTCATTTGAGTCCCTAAGTTTGTCTGTTTTTTAATATTGCAG